AGGGGAGGGGAGGGGAGGCACTGTCTACGGCTCACCTCCACTTCACGATCCTCCGAGGCGTCTGCTCTCGGCTGGTCATCAAGCCTAAGAGTAAAACAGGGTGTGTCAAGGAGACCCTGAGGGAGGGCCACTCCACTCTCAGGTGGGCAGGGAATCCCCAGTGGGGTCTGAGAAAAGGCCGCCAGGCCTGGATCCTTACTTTGACCCGCTTGGCTGTGGGAAAGGCAGTCTGGATGCTGTGGAAACAGTCAGGAAGCTGAGGACCAGGCCTCAATTCCCTTCTCCAGACTAACCAGAGGGTAGTGGGGATGAGGGTGGGCAGTGACCACCAAGGCCCTTTCAAATCTGACAGCCAGTAAGGGGGCTCTGACACTAGCACAGAACTTGAAATTCTACTTAGAATGGCTCTGTCTCATCCTAGCTGTGTGACTTTATGCAATTTCTTAACCTCTCTGAGCTGGCTTTCCCATCTGTACACTGAGGATGACAACTACTTCAATACCTACTTGGGAACACGAGTCAGGTGCTCAGCATGACCTGACACTGAGCAAGGGCTCCTTAAGGAGGAGCTTTTGAGTAGTTTCTATAACCCTGAGAATCCTTGGCCCCCTCCTCCTGGGTCAGGTTTACAGCCCCATCCAGTGCTGACTGCACCAATAAGAGGCTAATAAAAACCTGGCTGGGGCCTAGAGGGTAAATTAGCCCAACCAGTTTGCCACCTGGCTGGCCCAGGTACATGGCAATGTGCCAAATGGGAGGTCAGAGGTTTAAGGGTTGGAGGGAGACGGTCATGGATATGGATCCAGCTGTCACAAGTCCCCAAGAAGGAGAAAGAGGACAACATAGGAATGCCTACCGGGTACTGTCCGCTGCATCGGGGAACGGGGCTGCCGGTGGAAATGCTGAAATATCTGGAGGAAACAAAAAGCAAATACAAAGCATGAGACCACCTTCCCACTCCCCCCAAAAGACACAGTGCTCACACGCTGGGAAGTGGGTTCTCCCCTAGCAGCCCCTCGCAGGGCTATACATGTGTCCCCCTGGCCCTTTCCACTAAGTCCAACTTCTGCTTTTCCTAAAACCGACCCTCTAGAGCACTTAGTTTGTCCCAGGAGGGGGCCCCAGGTGGGCAAGGGGGCTGAGACTTCTCAGTGGTCAGATTGCTTTACACAAACAAGCAAGTGGTGTAAGCAAACCGGGCTACTATTTACTGGATGTGTGCCAGACCCTCCTGCTCTGCTTGGAAGCCAGGGCTGGTGGCAAGAGCCCTTGAAAGTAGTGAGACTCCTTCACTCAGGCCAGGAGAGGCAGAAGGTAGGGCTCACAGGTGGCTCGTTAAGGACACTTAGTGCCTGGAGCAGTTTCTGGGAATTTCTGGCAGGAGCTGGAGCCCGGCCCCCTTGGCTTCCAGGTTTGGTCTGCTGGTAAACAGCTCTCAGGGGAGAGGAAGAAATGCACAGTTCACACATCTTCTGCGGCTGACCCTTGGACCTGGGGCTTTCCCAGTTTTAGCACTGAAAGTTGCATAGGGAACACTAGACAGATGGTCACCCCAGGGTGAAATCAATGTGTTACAGGCCAAACCCTCCATAGCTGCTTCTGTTGCAGGCCTCCTTCCCTTCTCTCCAGCCCCTCCAGCAGCACTCGGGNCTTAAGGAGGAGCTTTTGAGTAGTTTCTATAACCCTGAGAATCCTTGGCCCCCTCCTCCTGGGTCAGGTTTACAGCCCCATCCAGTGCTGACTGCACCAATAAGAGGCTAATAAAAACCTGGCTGGGGCCTAGAGGGTAAATTAGCCCAACCAGTTTGCCACCTGGCTGGCCCAGGTACATGGCAATGTGCCAAATGGGAGGTCAGAGGTTTAAGGGTTGGAGGGAGACGGTCATGGATATGGATCCAGCTGTCACAAGTCCCCAAGAAGGAGAAAGAGGACAACATAGGAATGCCTACCGGGTACTGTCCGCTGCATCGGGGAACGGGGCTGCCGGTGGAAATGCTGAAATATCTGGAGGAAACAAAAAGCAAATACAAAGCATGAGACCACCTTCCCACTCCCCCCAAAAGACACAGTGCTCACACGCTGGGAAGTGGGTTCTCCCCTAGCAGCCCCTCGCAGGGCTATACATGTGTCCCCCTGGCCCTTTCCACTAAGTCCAACTTCTGCTTTTCCTAAAACCGACCCTCTAGAGCACTTAGTTTGTCCCAGGAGGGGGCCCCAGGTGGGCAAGGGGGCTGAGACTTCTCAGTGGTCAGATTGCTTTACACAAACAAGCAAGTGGTGTAAGCAAACCGGGCTACTATTTACTGGATGTGTGCCAGACCCTCCTGCTCTGCTTGGAAGCCAGGGCTGGTGGCAAGAGCCCTTGAAAGTAGTGAGACTCCTTCACTCAGGCCAGGAGAGGCAGAAGGTAGGGCTCACAGGTGGCTCGTTAAGGACACTTAGTGCCTGGAGCAGTTTCTGGGAATTTCTGGCAGGAGCTGGAGCCCGGCCCCCTTGGCTTCCAGGTTTGGTCTGCTGGTAAACAGCTCTCAGGGGAGAGGAAGAAATGCACAGTTCACACATCTTCTGCGGCTGACCCTTGGACCTGGGGCTTTCCCAGTTTTAGCACTGAAAGTTGCATAGGGAACACTAGACAGATGGTCACCCCAGGGTGAAATCAATGTGTTACAGGCCAAACCCTCCATAGCTGCTTCTGTTGCAGGCCTCCTTCCCTTCTCTCCAGCCCCTCCAGCAGCACTCGGGGAGGCTGGCAGCCCAAGGGCTGGGTGAGCCCCTCACTCCCTCCTCTTTTCCGAGCAAAAGGAGACAGTAGAGTTAGCAGTGGCTCATGCTAATCAGCGGCCTCTCCCTGCCTTCTAGGACAAAGAGCCTCCCTGTCGGCCATAGACCCTCCCATGACCCTCCTCTAGGGCTTTCTAAGGCTACCCCTGAAGGTTATCTGAACCATAGATTCTCAACGTCTCCGGAACCTCACAGGCTTAAAGAATCTGATAGAGGCGCCGGACCTTCTTATCAAGAAAAAGCACACAAGTGCCCAACATCCTGTGCGTGGTTTCTGGGGGATCCCAGGCCCTGGCAACCACTACTGAGGCCTCCTCCAGACACCACTATATCATGTCCACAGATTGCCAGGGTGGCCTGACGTTTCTATCATCCAGCACCACTCAAATGTTTCCACAGAAGAAAACCATGTGTGTAGGGGGCGGAGGGGTGTTCAGGGAGAAGCAGCACTCCCGGTGGGAGAGCAAAATGTCTCTGAAGCCTCATACTTTGCATTAAACATTAAGAGTATATTGCATTCTGCTCCAAAACATGTCCATGTTTGTTTTAATAGAAATGTAGTTTTCTCGCCTCCCACAATGTATCTTCAGGGCAAAACGGGCCCTCCTGGAATCAGAGGCATGTTTTTAGGTCTGCCCTGTATGCCATCCTACAGCTAGTAACTAGGGAGGCTCCTGGAAGGAATCCACAGCAAAAACTGGTATGAAACCACAGAGGCAACTGGGGGAGCCTGCCCCTGGCCCCAGCCAGCCTGCAAACACCTGCGATGCCATATGGATGATCCTCTAAGACATACAAATGCTCCAAGTTACTCCCCTAATAGAGCAGCATTGGGATACAGAAAAGCCTGGAATAACCAAAACATCGCGACTTCAGGACAGACCTGTTTAACGTAGGAAAAACAATGAGCTACCTAAACACATAGAAACTTCACATGGCTAAACTAAGATTTAAAGCTGCATATTACTTATAATAAAGCTTGTCACCTTCAGCTAGAGGAATAAGACTAATTGTATAAATGCCTGGAGGGCAGGGATATGGTCAAATGCAAAGACTGGCACACTGTAGGTGCGCAAAACAAATTTTTGTGGAAGGGAATCAATGAGATTGTTTTAGCGGAATTGAATTTTCCTTTCAACTTCCTGCATTGAGGCATTTCAAATACATGGCCAGCAGGTGGCGCTGTGCGACAAGGCTCTGTAAGTGAAGCCTGCAGACCTTCCCAAACTGCCTTTCCCTCTGTTGTGTAGCACTTTCCTTGTCATGGTGCAGAGGAAGGTACCATGACAGATATTCATAAGGCATCAGCAAAAAGTCCTCTCCCCCCATTATGCAAACAGCTTCTGCCACCTCCTGGCTGTGTGACCCTGGACAAGTTGCCTGTAGTCTCTAAGAGGCTGGACAGGATGGATGCCAAGGTCCCTCCCAGCAAGGCACTGCCCCTGTGAAGTCTACTACTCACCCTGCCTCCTTTTCCAGCCTCAACAGACAGGCAGCTCTCAAAATACGCGGATGGGATACTCAAGCACCTCCAAGGTGCTCAGGGTGAGGGCGCCCAGGTGGGCTGGACAGAGGGGTCACAGCAAAGGGCAGTTAGTGGAACCATGCAAAGGACTCACCTGGAAAGATAAACTGCTGTCTATGATGAATGAAGTAGGCAGCTTTAAACAGAAGAGGAGGTGAGTCACACACAGAGCAGCAAATGAAGCGAAGAGGGAGGGGACACAGGCGTGGGCTTGGGAGGGAGGGGCTGGTTATCGGGCTGGGGCAGGTATGCCCCAGGGGGGCCTGGCCAGGACAGGGTGACCCATGCAGCGTAGAGAAAAAAAGCTGGGAGAAAGCAGGTGTGGGCAGGAGCCGCAAGGAGTGAAGGGACTTGCACCTAGGACGGGTTCAGAGACCCTGTCTCCGCCGCCACCCTGCTGCACAGCTCTGGCCCCCTGCATTCACCTCTCAGGCCTGCTTCTCTGTGAAATGTGCACGATCCCAGGAGAGTAAAATACAATGAGGGGGGAGGAGGGATGATTCCAAAAACATTTAACCGTGGTGCTGAGGCTTCTGCGACTCAACCTCACCATCCAGAAAGGGAAAAAAATCCTCTCTTCAGGATGATTGAAGGGACTCGCTGGGGATCTGCAATTGGACATATCATGCTTCTAACCCCAGTTCTGCCATTTATGAGGCTCTGGGACCTTGAGAAGCTGGTTAACCTCCAGTTGTACTGTAAATGGGGTTTTTAAACCTTTCCCCAGGTTTATCCTTGAAGATAAACTGAAATGCTCCTGCCCAGCAGAGTGGGTGAATGGCAGGAGTTTCTATCCCAG